GAGCAATCAGGCTGCGGTGCGCGCCCGACTGCTCTATGTTCCTGCGCACACAAGTGTGCTACAAAACAAAGGCCGTGCATCTCATCACAGCCCCGCCTCCTTTTCTTTCACTTATAGGTTGGTTGCGTTCTGTAAATCGAGAAGAATGCAACCACTATTTTGAAGAGGAATATTTCTGGCACTTCTTGTCTTACTTAGCTGGGAGCTCTTGCCGAAGCCCTCTCCTGGAGAAGCGTTGTAAATTGAGATTACTGTTTGGGGTTTGATCGACTAGTCAAGCCTGATGCTGAGCAGAGTGACATAGATTCACATTTTCCATTTTCACAAAAGGCATGGAGACTGCGTCAGGTAGTGCTCCCGAGTAACTGCTCGAATGTAAGCTCTGGCCCGGAAGCGAAAGAATCACCGTTGCCCTGATGCCTCTCACGACATCTGCTGACACGGCTGGAAGATCGTGCTTGCAAGGAAGCTTGTCTTGCTGGCCTGTTTATGGCTGCTTCGTTCGTCGTCCACAAAGAGAGAACAACTGCTTCCCCTGCTTGACGTGCCTGCGCACTGGATTTGCTGGGACAAGCAAAGACGAAATTGATGCCCAGCCTCATGTGCAAGTTCAACAGCCTTGGACACTTTGGCTGCCACAAGCAGGCCTTTGAAGAAGCCTCGGACTGACTGCATCCTTCCTCGTAGGTTGCCGCTCTATGCAAGTGAGGCGGCGTTGTTGGGCTGCCCAGAATTGAGATTCGATCATTCTTCTGAGGTTTTGGGTGCCAAACATGTCCATGTCCTCGAGAAGCTCCATGTGTTGTCGGAGATCGTACCACAGATCGACCGCGGCATCGTACCTTCTCTAAGAGATCAGGGTACAAGGCATAGCACGCATGGCACAGCACATCGATCGCACACTCCCCCCGTTCGCAAGCTAGCATCTTCAGAGCTCGTGCCATGCATAGCAATTGACATTCGTGCGGGACTGTCGAGGCTGCTAGAAACCAAGGCACTGCTCGATTTCTGCAGTGCTTAGCGCAGCTGTGCAGAGCTCGAACTTGGTGCCGCTGTAGGACAGGGATCGGCAGGAAATTGCGCCCAGCAGCCGCAGCTGAACCGCCACCAGCTCCATGGCTGTCACCCCGCCCCTCTCAACAACCTTTCTGAAAGACCCAAAGTCTTTAAAAGGTGGTTTGTGCGCGCAGTCCTGGCCTGGTAAGGCCGGTGCTCCCCAAAGCCCTAGCCTGACCATGTACTGCATGTGCGAGACTTCCGTGGCGCCTGTAGCTGTTGCGTATAGCACCGGGCAATTCGGACAGGAAGCCTGGAGCTCCTCGACCAAAGCTGCGCAGCGAGTGCCAGCATCCAAATTCTTGGCCTTGTGGGCTTCGTCCAAAACAATCAGCCCGCTTCCTGTTTCCTGGCGGTGGCACAGCCATCCCAGGAGTTGATGAAAGCGGGAGATGTGGGACGCGCCCTTGGAAGTCCCTCCTGCCAAGCTGGAAAATTTTAGCAGTAGAGGTTTGAAGCCAGGTTTCGGCTAAGTCGAAGTCCTGATGAGACGAGCAAGGCGTAGGTTAGGAATAAGACGCCATCCTGGCACAAGGTCGCGACCAGCTGCGCTCTGAAGCCACAAGACGCATGTCCGACCTTGGCCTTTCCCAGCTTTGCCAGCTCTGGATCTGCGCTGTGCGCCGCGTCCAGCTTTCCACGCGACTTGACCCTTGCCAAGTTACATACCTCCATTCCAGCAAGAGACGGCGTGCAATCAAACAGTGCAACTTTGCTACCTCCCAGATCTGGCGGGGTGCTGGAATCCCGGTCTTCAGATCCTGTAGATCCCGTATTGCATCTTGATAAAGGTCAGCCGTGGCTGAAATCCACCTGAGCAAGCGCTGACGGGTCCGGAGGGTCTGTAGTTCTACAACTTCGGAGTTCAATTAAAACCCACAACAGTTGCACGGCGCCACTCTACGACTCAGTGCTTCCTTGGCACACATGCCGGCGATTACCAGCATTCCACTGATCCAGGATCAGGGCAGCAATGCAGCGACCTTGCCAAGCTAAGCTTGAACAGAGTAGAACCAAAGAGTTAATGGTTTGCCCTGTAATTATAAATGCTATCGCGCGCCCGCCTCGGCTGGCGGGGCGCGGAGCACACGAATAGGTCATGGCATGTAGGGTCGAGGGAGTAATGGAGGCA